GTTGAAGAGCAATTATCACTTGAAAGCTAGTATTTTAAAATAAAATGAAACTCATTGTGGGAAAATATTTTTGTATTTTTGAACTATTTATTGTTAGCAAGAAAACCTTTTGTGGCTTTTTAAAAACTTTGATATATTTCAAATTGTAATTTTTGACTCTTCGGATTCAAAAGGTAGCTGAACCTTGACCTAGACTATTATTCCAATATTTACATATTTCGTGTAACTTCTCTAATTGACCAAACGAACTATGTATGTTATTCTTGAAGTATCGTCTGCGATTAAATTTCTTTGTTATTCCATATGATTTTTTTTAAATTTTATTATTACAGAAGCACGAAGTCTATCAGACTATATTGTGCTATATTAGAATTATTTACATATATATCTTTAATTATTTACACGATGAATTAGTAGTGATTTATAAATCTGTGTACAAATAGCTCTAAACTTGCCAAAGTTTTCATAAGATTGAGTATATACAGAAAGATGGCATTATGTCAAAGTAAGCAAGTACAATTTGGTTAGTCAGAGGGCAAGCTAATATGATACCTATAATTACATACCTTAGATATATTGACATAGCCTGCTCGCCATCCGTACATGAAGCTCATCACTGATGATCCAGGCCCTCCCAATATGTTTGCATCGTAGAAAGTACAGTAGAAAGTTATTTTAATATTTCTAAAATTGAAAATTCCTGCTCATAAATAATTTAAAACTCTATTATATACATCTCTTTTAATTATTAATATGTATATTTTTGTAAACAAGTACAGTGGACCCTCGGTTTGCGAGCATAATCCGTTCCAGAGCCATGCCCGTACTCCAAAACGCTCGTAGTGCGAAACTAATTTCTTATTTTTAATAATTGAAACTCGGGCAATTCTTTTTGCTACGAACAATTGCACAGTTTCCCACATTTTACATATTTCCCGAATCTGATCTGAAGGGAGGGATCCCAGTGAATTTTCATCCATCACGATTACGGGCAACCATCACGAGTTGCTCGTAATCCGAGGTAAAATTTTTCAAAATATTTTGCTCGTACTGCGAAAAGCTCGTACTCCAAGGTGCTCGTAAACCGAGGGTCCACTGTATATTTACTGCATGTGTTTCTTTTAAATAATACCATCAAATATTTTCTCTTTACAGACCTTACCTTAATAATAAAGGTATTAAATGAGAGAGCTTGGCTCATTAGTGGTGAACCCTCATCAGAGGTTTCGCCAAATTAATCTCCATATTTCTATTCAAAGAGGTTTGGGATAGGAACATCAAAATGTGAATATCTCTTCTTTTCTTTCAAGTTTTGAACAATAGCTCAAAATAAAAGTCTTGACTTCCATCAGTTTCTGAGTTGAAGTTACCCATCACACACAGATATTGTGTTTATTGTAGATATGGATGAGTTGAGTTTCCTTCCAGGCTAATTGGTCATTTCAGGCATGGTCTTCTAGCCCCCATCATGGCAGAACGCGACTTCAAGTGGCAAGGGATCCAATGATCTGGCAGCAAAGATGGATATGGAACGCTTCACCATTTTGCGTGTCATCCTTGCGCAGGGGCCATGCTAATCTTCTCTGTATCGTTCCAATTTTAGTATATGTACCGCCGAACAAGCGTGTACATATCCAAAGATGGATATGGATGATTCAAATGTTATAGAGACCTACCAGTGGCCCAGGAAATCAGCGCTACAAATGGACTACAGTTTAAAGCTGGAAAGAGAACTTTTTTTATTCTATATCTCTACTTATGACAAATTTTAAAGATAATTATAACGCGCTTTATTCCGGGATATAATACTGTGGAATCCAAATATCGCCACCGCTATATACCTATTCTTTGATATTTCATTAATTAGTGCCGGAAATGAAGGACAAAGTTACCTCGTTTTATCATTTAGTTTTCGTCCTTCCATATAACGCTTTATTACGGGTTTCAGTATTCAGACAATAACTCGGAAAGATGGGGATATGTGAAAGGATAGTCTAAACCGTTGGTTTTCAACTGTTACGACCCGGGTTCGATTCCCGCATTGGGCCCTTTTTATGATAAAAAAAATATATATATATATGCTACAATGATCTCCGATTCTTGCAAAAGTCCAACCCCACCAGCGATTGCAAGTAACTAAACGGGGCTCTGACATATTTGTAAGTGCAAAGTCGAACTGCTTTTCACATGTGTAGACATGTGGTGCACTTACAGTAAAAGCAGTCGCCTACTTCTATCCACCATGATTATCATGGCCTGTACCATGTGTACTAGGGAATAAGTAACAACGAACTCAAATAGGTACACTAGGTAATTTTGTCCGTATAAATACGATTATTATGTGATTAAAGTCTATATCGTGTTGTTTATCTTTCTTAGTTTGTTCTTTTCTGAAATAAATTGTTGTCTCATCCCGAAGTTGGTCTTACGGGCTCAAAAATCATTCATTTTGGTTAGCAGCCCCGTAAATAAAGATATTTCCGAAGTTGGTCTTGCCTAATTTTTCACGTGGCAATATTATCTATTCTCGAATTCAATATTTCGACGAGGCTATTCGACTATCTTCTTTTTGGGATTTAAACTTCTTGTAAGCTTATCAAACGCTTGATTTGTGTTAACTATGACACGTCTTCTTCTTCTAGAAGTGTTTTCCAATAGGGTTAGTGTTCCACATGACAAGAATAGTTTGGTTTTCGGACACATGTGTCAAATTATTTGTCAAACATAAGCAATTTAAGCTTCTCAGTTATGTAGGAAGAATGCTGTCTTCTTATTGGACGAATGTGGACCTGTTTGCATATAAAGAGGGTTCAATGGGAATGGGAGGGGTTTCTCAGAGAGTTATTGTGTGGAGACGTTTAAAGCGTTCTCTGTGTGCTTGTTTGGTGATCTCCTCACATACCTGTCTAACCCCGGTCCTCTCCTTATCAACGCTGTAATAAAATATATGTACTGGTTTTGTTATAACTTATCGTATGGTTTTTATTTACGTTCTTACTTTTTTTTTTACTTTTGAGTGTACGCGTTTCTGTGTATTAAGTTACCTCTACTTTAGCCCCTAGTACTTTTTTTGTTTGTGTAAACCGTACAAAGTAACTTTTGTCACGTATACGCGAAATTGTTTTCGGGTTTAAGCAAATCGATTTGCTCTCTCCTAGACAAGGATGGAATGGTCTTATGACCCAACAATGCATTAAGTTAGCCATCCACCTGACAAGAATGGAAAATGGTTTTCGGAATAAAGCCATATACGAGTTGCTCTCTCCTAGACAAGGATGGAATGGTCTTATGACCCAACAATGCATAGAGTTAGAAATCCACTTGACAAGAATGATGGAATGGTTTTCGGGTTCACAACCTAAATAGACGGTTAGCACTATCCTATATAGAGACACGGACGGATGGAATAGACGTGGGAAAGAGTGTAAGCCCGGAGAAGCAGACATCAGTTACCCGAGGTCTCCACCAGGGCGCGCCACCGTGCCGCAGTACGATCGCTGCGCCGCCATGCAAGATGGCGGCGGGGTTGTTGGAGCGGGGCTCCGCGGGGTTCCTACACCGCCACCCCACGGGCTCCGTCACCGAGTGCGAAGTCCGCTTCCTGCGACAGGTACGTGCGGACCTCTGTCACATACAGCTCGGATGCACTTAGTCACTGAAGGTCGGTACCTGTCATCAATACTTGCTGTCAAATTCTCTCTACCTATACTATATACCCTCCAATGAGCGACTACCTCTCTAAGCAACCACCTTTATAACAGTAAAAGTAACTTGACCTAATCTAACCCAACATACACCAATAGATTCTCTATATCGACCAGGTGTTCCCATGTTTTGGTCTCTCAGGAAGAATTCTTCAGTACATCCTGTCTACCATCAAGACATGAGCAACTACATATCTCTTTGCTTAAAGTGAAGATTGGGAAATGCTAAGCAAAAATCTGCCTATTCATCTTCATTTAAAATCATTTTATTGCATTTCTTAACATACGTCTAGGTCTTTAATTCAATACGAAATCAATACCATCCCATCTCTTATAATAGACACCATGTAAATACGAACCTATATGCAAATTTTTCCTCAGACGCCAGAAATAGGATTAGAGCCAAAAAGTATAGAATTTGACATTTCCCCTTTATTTATTCTATCAAACTTTACGATTTTTCAATGAAGCTCTTCCTGTACCATATGCTTTTTTAAGGAATACGCCCATATGTATTGCCTTTACATAGCTGCATATATACACAATATATACATAGATATAATATGCATATATAAAAATTTGCATATATTTCAGAATCGTATATTTTATCCTGTGATATGCGAGGATTATGAAATATTGTCAAGTGATGAAGTTGCATGAAAATTAATCAAAATATTAGTTTTATTATACGAAAAAGGAATTGATAGATTAGCATTGTATTTGATTGCCTCAATTGCTACTTTACTCTGATAATATATTAACAACTAATATTTTATAAGAATAACATATATTTAAACTATTTATTTTCCCAATATATCGAGAGGAAATTTGCTCCCTTATAATTTATATTTTTACTTATCCCTAGTACACGTGGTACAAGCCATAATAATCATGGTGGGTAGAAGTTGTCGAATACCTTTACTGTAAGTACACCACATGTCTACACAATGTGAAAAGCAGTTCGACTTTTCACTTACAAATGTGCCAGAGACCCGTTTGGTTACTTGCATTCGCTGGTGGGCTTGGACTTTTGCAAGAATCGGAGGCCTTTGGAGCATTTTTTTTTATATAGAAAAGTCCCCAATGCGGTTATCGAACCCGGATCATAGCGGTCGAAAACAAACGGTATATAGCATCCTTCCATCGATCCTTATCCCTTATAATATACTTTTGAATAAATTTTTTTAAAATAATCATATTAAGTTATCAGCGTCATAATCAATTCTTTCTTAATCAATTCTGTCACCGTTTCCTTTGTGAATGGAATAAATACCCAAATATGGCCATTTCTCATAACCATCGGTGGTTCAGTGGTAGAATGCTCGCCTGCCGGACGGCCCGGGTTCGATTCCCGGCCGATGCATTTTTTTTTATAATTTTTAAAACTCATTTATATATTATACAAGAATGACATCCACGGCGCCAATTTATAATTGTAACGAATAGTATTTGAATAAAAGCATTTAATCGGGTAAAACCCGGGCGTTGCCCGGGTCATTCGGCTATTAACATTATAATGATGGTTGCATATGTATATATGGAGATTGTGTGTACATCTAAGTCTTTAAAAAGACAGTATCGTACAATAGGATTGTGCAACAAGAGGGATTGGTCATCACGTGATTTAATTCAAACCACAAATTCCTTAGTAAAGGGACGAGTTTTCTCCTTTGAAATATTGAACTAATAAATACTATATGATGCACTAGCGCGCCATCTGTTATCAAAATTCGAAATTATTTTAAACGCGTAAGATTCTTTTTTGAAATTAAACAATTTCTACTGCCCTTACTGCAATGGAAAAATTAATGGGAGGGCCTGGCTCATCAGTGGTGAACCCTCCCAGCGGTTTCGCCAGTTTAATCTACCATACCGCCGTTATATTGCATTTTTGGTGACAATTATTCCGCCTTCTAAATATTGCATTTTTGGTAACAATTTATTCCGCCTTCTACAATATTGCATTTTGGAACTTCCTTTTATAGTGATACTGTAGGTAGACTCTTGGAATGGGTATTTTAGAAGAACTATGGACATAAGCTTTGAGGACAGAAGAATTACATATAATTATAAATATATAATATGCTTCGAGCAATCGCTTTTCCGCAAATATCAAATTGTGTCTTTTATTAGAACATTTATAATATGATGCACTAGCGCGCCATCTTTTATCAAAATTCGGAATCATTTTAAAGGCGTAAGATTAATTTTGAAATTAAACAATTTCTACTGCCCTTACGGCAATGGACAAATTAAATACTATATTTAAGCAAATTTATAATTTATACATATATAACCTGCTTGTATATATTTATACAACATAAAGTTACCAGAGGGTGATATTCACGTACAAAAATAGGTACCTTTCCCTTTATTTATGCATAATTCTGTGTACGGTTAAAGGGAGAGATGCCTCTTCTGGTATATATATATCCACTAGATAGCGCTCTGCCATTTAAAAAGCACATGTACTGGTCAGGATATGCCTTTTTTGTTTTTAATACCAACACCTGATCCTTTTTTATTTTTATTATTTTTTCATACACACACACATATATTTTTAATTAAAAAGGCATATATTGGATCAAAATATCATTTATTTTACCAATATTTCAGTTGGCTGAACGCCAACCTTTATCAAGGTATTATAACATATTAATGTGTGTCAACAACAGTGGCACTGAGTTTGTTGTTGACACACATTAAAATGTTATAATACCTTGATAAAGGTTGGCGTTCAGCCAACTGAAATATTGGTAAAATAAATGATATTTTGATCTAATATATGCCTTTTTATTCAAAAAATTATTTATGGATTGCTCTATTTTCAAAACACACATATATATTTAATTAAAAAGGCATATATTGGTATTTTTCTAAATTTAATCGATATTTGTTAAGATTATCGTGGCAATTTTTTATTCTGGCATTCAAAAGTTTTTTTCCCCGTTTCTAATAATATTTTCTAGAAAATTCGTGCGAATAGGATCTTTAAGAATTAAAGAAGGTGGAATAATTCCCGCTGAAAGACATCTGTGGTTGAAATGTAACTTCCAACTGTTGATAGAAAGTCTTTCTATTGTTCTTGCAAGGCGTAGAGTGTCATAACCAAAACTGGTTGAATTTTAATATTTTAATTAAAGATTTATCTATGGATTGCTCTATTTTCAAAACACACATATATATATAGTAATATTCATATATTTATACGAATGTTCTCAACTAATATCATATATAGATATATATATAATACAAAGTTTTAGGAAGTAGATATTCATCTACCAAAAGTGGATACCTCTCCCTTTAAAAATACACTAAAACAATGCGTTTGGATCATCCCCACGGTACAAAATGTAATATGGGGTATAAAGAAGGAGCTACAACATATATACACTGGCCCGCAAAATTAAAGGAACAAAATATTTTTTTAAATCTCAAATATCTCAAAAGATCATTGCTTGACCGGCTGATTTGCATAAAATACGTGTTATATTTTTTTTATTTCGGGTATTTTTAATCAATAATGGAATAATAAATTTGTGTATAAAATTTTATTGCTAAATGTTCAATAAAATTTGAGATAAATGAAAAAATATGTTGTTCCTTTAATTTTGCGGACCAGTGTATATACATATTATGAAATTCTCATTTTTTAATTCAATATTTTTATTATTTCCAATATTTCATATGGATACACACACCTATATATGAAAAAAACAATAGAAAATAAAAAGGTCAGGTGTTGATATTAAAAATAAAAAAGGCATATCCTGACCAGGAGCACATGTGCTTTTCAGAAGGCAGATCGCCATCTGGTGGAACAGGTTAAATCAATGAATAGTTGATTTCTGTTCCACCAGATGGCGCTCTGCCTTCTGAAAAGCACATGTGCTCCTGGTCAGGATATGCCTTTTTTATTTTTAACACCTATATATATAATGTTTTAAAAATAGAGAACAATCAATAAATAAATATTTTTATAATAAAGATATATAACAGATTAAAAAATAAATTACCTACTACAATTTCAGTGTGTTATGCGGTTAGATATAAAACAAATGTTGTACCATGACAAAGGTTGGCGTTCAGCCAACCGAAATATTGATAAATAAATTATTTAGGATTTCTATATAAACCTCTAATATTTGTTATAGAAATAGGTAAATGGAATTAAACAATGTCTATTTATATCATGGATAACCATAGTAGCCTTTTTTGATCGGTAGGTCATGAAGTTATTTTTGAAAACCTGCATAGAAGATAGCATAATATGGAGTCTGACCCACTTATATTTTATTTTTTTCCTATTGTTTTCTCATGTGTTAAACGTCTTTACGCCAATTTGTCCTTAAATACCTATTTTTTGATTTCTCAAGAAGCCATTGGAACCAAAAATATTTTTGGTCGCAGTGGTTACAGCCTTCTCCACGCTGACGAGAGCCAACAGCACGAAATGCGTTCGTGGATGGCTTTTCTTGATTTATCGAGAAATTGGGTTGGACAAATATCACGGAGCAAGCTAAATAAACGTTTAGTTTATTTTTGCTCCACTAGATGGCGCTCTGCCATCTAAAAAGCAAATGTGCTTGTGGTCAGGAAATGCCTTTTTTAATTTTTAATATGGAGATTGTATATGCAAATTTGAAAAGTATTCGATTTGAATACTTAAATAATCTGTAAAATATCAATGTTGCAACATTTCAAATATAAATAAATAGATAAATTAACCACGTCTGTCTTCAAGATAGACACCATCTCTATGCGCCATCTATCAACCGTCCTGACAATCGAATAGAATCTAGCCAATAAAAAAGTCGCAACACTAGTTTCGTAAAATCCGGAACGTCACTTAAATAACATAGTTTCAGGCTATGGTATGCGTTAGTCAAGGATGGCATCAATTTCGTGTGTTCCTCAGGGATTCACTATATCTACCATAGAGATGCTTACCTGGTAAAATGGTCAATTCTAATGTTACACCATGGCGAAATATACACTCATGGACAAAACTTAAGGAAGTTGTACCTTTTAACATGTATATCGGGATTATGACAATAACTCTGAAAGATAGTACAGTGACTTTTATTGAAGTCAATACGATATAACCAAATGTGAACAAAATTGCCTCTGTCTCTATAAAAAATAAATAAATAAAATGACGACATCAAAAACTTTCCACTTTCTTAAGTTTTGTCTAAGAGTGTGGAACAATCCTTTTTTTTTTTTTTTTGCTTATCTCTAGTACACGTGGTACAGGCCATGATATTCATGGTGGGTAGAAGTAGGCGACTGCTTTTATTGTAAGTGCACCAAATGTCTACACATGTGAAAAGCAGTTCGACTTTGCACTTACAAATGTACCAGAGCCCCGTTTGGTTACTTGCACTCGTTGTTGGGATTGGACTTTTCTAAGAATTGCGGGCCAATCCAAATGAAATTCTTTAATGGTGAAACGCTTAATTTGAATCAACTATTTCTTCCTATTTTACGACGACCAGGATAATCGCCTTTCATATTCAAGGAGTTTGTCTCTGGAATCTTTCTTTCAGATTGGCCTTGTCGATAAATTGGAAGATACTAATCAACAAACTTTAATCCAAGTGTATTATCATTAATAATTGCCAAGAAATCTCTCGATTCTTTGGTATAGTACTGTAAGTGCCTCGTATTAGCTTCCTTAGTAGTTTATAAGAGCCTTTCTCAACCTTATTTGACTCTCCTTCGTACTGGAAAAATTTTGGTAATAAAATTCGTCTACCATTGTTTTTATTTAAAAAAAAAACTTCATTGGGTATTAAATATATTTTTTAGAATTAAAATAAAAACATTTTTGACATCCGTCACTGGTATATCATACACCGAAAAGTTATAAGATATAAACTCATGGACAAAAGTTAAAGAAGTGGAGAGTCTTTGATATCGTCGCACGTCTATTTTTTTAAGGAGACAGGCAATTTTGTTCAAACTTTGTTAACTGGTGTGTCTTCAATAGAGGTGACTGTAATATTTTTCAGAGTTATTGTCTGAATCCCGATATAAATGCATAAAAGGTACAACTTTTGAAATTCACTGGGGTATAGGTGTTTCCCTCACTGAAGGTTGGTGACCTTTCTGATGGATTGTTCTTCAGTAAGCTGGGAGTTAGAGGAGTCCATCTTCAGTAGTTATCTAACTTTACCGGTGATGTTGTTATCTGATGGGAATTCTGAAGACATCCGTTCTTTCTGTAGTTCATTTGATCATACTCCAGGAACAGATCTTCAGATGTTGCGTTCCATGGTCCTGTTAGTTGTTTATGTTAGTGTCCCATCAAGTCATGTTCGAATTTTGGTGAGTTGGTTCGACATTTGGTGAATATTATAA